GGGGGGAAGATAGTTTAGGGTTTTGCTGCTTCTTTCGTTGAGTTGCAGAATCATAGACTTGGAAGGGATCCCCAAGGTCCATCCAGTCCAGCCCCCTTCTGCCATGCAGGAATACATGGGATCCTAGCATTGGAAGGGATCTCCAAGGGACATCTAGTCCAGCCCCCTTCTGCCTTGCAGGAAGACACAATCAAAGCCCTCCCTGTGACAGATGGCCATCCAGCCTCTGTTTCAAAACACCCTCCAAAGAACTGGAACTGAAAGTTGACATTCCCCTCAGCATGGTTACAGTGGGATGGTGACTGGGACAAATAGGGCATTACCTAAAAGCTATCTTGTATGGGTGCTCAGGCCAAGCAGTTTGCTAATTGCTTGGCCCTCCTTTGCTCAGGTTTTTCTCTTTCTCTCCAGGGTGCCCTACGGAGAGTCAAATCCCTTTGGTTGTCATAACAATGTTGTCGTTTTAAGCCTTACTGCTCACTCTTCTCTCTTTACAGCACTTCGCTGGCATTTGTAGTAAGGAGTTGCTAAGATAGCAGGAACTGTGTGATCTCCAGGATTGTCCTCCAAATCAGAGGACATGGCTTCTGGCATAGGATCCCCATCTCCCTGCTCTGCTGGCAGCGACGAGGAGGAGATGGAAATCCTGTTGAACAACAGCATCCACCAACATCAAGGTATACAGATGGACAGACTGATGCGATGCAATTGAATTCCTGATTTTGGAATGGCTTTTATTTTGGAAGAAGGAATAAAGAGTTTGTCTATAGTCTTTTTTTCAACCGAGGAGGCCATGAGATCCCTCCCATCCAGCCAGCCACAAAATGAAAGGAAGGGACTTGAGACGCTGAGTTTAATCCATGCCCTCCCACCCTTAATGAGTTTAATTTGGAGGCAGCAAATTTCCCTCTATCGAATCTTCCCTGCTTTCTGATAATTCTGCTGTGTCATTCCAGTTGCACTGGGAGAACTTGGAAGTTAGGATCTTGGGATGAAGCGGGGAGTAAAAATTGTTCATAACTTTCAGATAAAGCACTAACTCCTCTGGCTGCTAACGCATGGGATGCCTTGCTTGCTTGCTTCCTCAACTTCCTGTGGCTCCTCCTCACTCATTTTGAATATTTAGCCTCTGATTCTGAATTTGTTTTTGTAAGAATATGAAATACTGGATACAAATGAATTGCACAAGGGAATTTAGTAGGATCCTACCTGTTTTTATTATAAGAGCATTTTGCTACCTCTTGCTGAATATGTGGTGGAGTTAATAGGTCTGTTATGAGGAGAGGAAGTCTTGTAAGAAGGGTAACTGAGGTGAGGAGAAAGCATTTGGATGGAGTTTCCTGTTTATAAAATATAGGCAACATGGAAGGACAAGTGAGATGGAAGTGTACCTGGCTGTCTTTTGTCCACTTGAGAGCTCAGATATGTCTGTGACCAAAATAAGATGTGCTTTGAACTATTACGTGACCCATTTTTCTTCCTAGCCACACCCAATGTAGTTTGTTTCACAGCTGCTCACCTTAGGATTGAGTTGTCCTGCACAATCCAGCGGAGAGGTGAAAATGATATGGTTTGTTATATGTTTTGGTTTAGTCATTCTGAAGTACAGATCTTGGCATCACTTGGCTTATGGAGGGGCCACCAAATGATTTGGCAGTGTAGGTCTGGGAATACAGTGGGAATCTCCCTGGTGCCTTGGATCTCTGGGAACTACAGACCTTGTTACCTCAAGAATGTCACCTGTCCTGTCTTTTGTGAAGTCCAGAAGGGACAAGGATTCAGATGGAAAAGTTAAGGTTTTTCCAGTGTTTGTTTGGGCTCCTGGGCCAAAGAGGGAGATGATTCTCTTTTGTGGATATTAGAAAGCCTAGAGACAGTGTGTAGAGTATCCTTGCCTTCAGGCTTTTTGAAGCTGAGTTTTAAGTTTCCCTTAAACTGGGGAAGGTGGGAAGGTTGTGCTGGTGGAAGGGATGCAAAGAAAATACTTCTGGCACAGGATATATTTGCTGATTTGGGAATGCAGGACTCCACCCGCAGCAGTTTCCCCTCTGATCCTTGTCTTTCAGTTGCAGCAACTGCTGTGACCTGTGGCTTCCCTCATCCTGCCCAGTGCCTGTGGTTAGGAGGCCATTTTCCCTTGGAGGGAGAGCTAGTGACTCTGGCTGCGTGAAATGGGCGGGGGTGGCGGAGGGAGGGGGAGGGAAGGAGAGTGGCTGGGTTACTGTGGATCTTGTCACAAAGGAAGCTGCCGGCTGGCTGTGCCCCTCTGGGCTTTTGGGGGGTGGAGGATTGGAAGAACAGATGGGAATGTGGTCTGTCAGAGTGAGGAGTGATGTGTTAAGTGTGTGTATGTGTGTATGTGTATGCCCCCCCAGTGTATGTGTGTGTGCGCGTGCGTGCATCTGCCTCTGCAAAAGGGGGTGTGTGGAATGAGTTAAAGCTTGCAATTTGCATAGCGAAGAGGTGATTGTGAGTTAGAAGGAGCTGGCACCTGACTAAGCACCTGGTGGTTGAAATGGAAGCTCTGAGCAGTAGCAGTCTAGGCATGATGAGAGAGTCCAAATAGTTGCCTATAGAGTTAGTTGGAAGCACTGAGATTATTTTGGGGCTTTTGAGACTTCCTTGATCATTTTTAAGCAGATGACTCTTGGCCAATGGATTTTCTTGCTTGTTGACGTAAATTTAGGAAAACCTTTTTTGTCTTCAGTTCCTTGTGTCTGGTTTTTAGGAGGGCATCAGATATCTGTCCTGCTTGCTTAATCATGTAATGCTAGTGTTGGACTATTAATCCATAGTTCTTGGAATGCAAAAGCAGGAGTCTATATAGAACGGTGCATGAGAATGTTACTTACAGAACAGAGTTATGCTATCGGAGGTGGGAACACAGAAGAAGAAATTAAGAAAGAGCCTTAAGTTTTAAATGCATATGAAAAGATATTGTTGTGGCATGCTTTGTCAATGTGATGAAACATAACAGTGGGATTTAATTTAGGACAATGAAAGAGTGGTGGGAATCAGTTCAAATCTAAAGTTGTCTTTCTCTGTTGCCTTTCTAACTTTGTTCAGAGCCAGAAGAAGAGCCAGAGGAAGAGCTGTTATCAGAAGCAGAAATACCAAAAATCAAGAAGAAGAAGAAGCCGAAAAAAACGAAAGAACCTAAAGTGCCCAAGCTTAGTAAGCGCCAGAAAAAAGAGGTAAGGGATAGAGCAGGATGTACAGATATTTGGAAGATGCTGTACAAATGGGTCTGCGTGCTAATCTTTTTGGTAATGACTGGGCTTAAGTGCTAACTGTATGCCTGGATTCTTCTATGTCCTTTCATTCCAGCTTGGCGACAGCTCAGGTGAGGGAAATGAATTTGTGGAGGAGGAAGAGGAAGTGCTGCTGCGCTCAGATAGTGAGGGAAGTGACTATACCCCTGGCAAGAAGAAGAAGAAGAAACTTGGACCTAAGAAGGAGAAGAAGAGCAAAGCCAAGCGCAAGGAGGAAGAAGAGGAAGAAGATGAGGATGATGACTCCAAGGTGAAAGGGGGAGATACTTGAAATGTCCCACTAAGGTCCAAAAGACACTGCAGAAATAATCCAGTTTGAGACTGCTTTAACTGCCCTGGGTCAGTGCTAGGGAATCCTGGGAATTGTAGTTTATTGTGGCACCAGAGCTCTTTGACAGAGAAAGCTAAATGTCTCACAAAACTACAGTTCTCAGAATTCCCTAGCATTGAGCCAGGGTAGTTCAAGTGGCCTTGACCTGAATTATTTCTGCAGTGTGTTTTGGACCTTAATTACTTCCAGTTTTCCTGTTATCCTTCTACACACCTCATTCCTCCTCATTCTTGATTTGGCTAGAGGTGGGACAGGTGGACCAAAAAAATTTACTGCTAAATGAGAGTGACATTTTCCTTCTTGGGGTCTAAATAAGAATGATTACTGTTGTTCTTCAGAGTAGTCATTTCTATCCTTTTGCAGGGTCCTTTACAAACATTCTCTCTAGTT